AATTGCCAAATACAAGGCCTTTCGTTAATACACTCTAGCATTCTGATGAGTTTCCAAATACGAGAGTGAGGAATTGCCAAATACAAGGCCTTTCATTAGCATTCTGATGAGTTCAACAAGTTCATTCTCAACAACACTTCCATCAGATTATAAACCTTACACTAGCAGCGTGATCCTTCAAATTCCTACACAAAAATCCAATGAGAATTATTAAAATCATAGCAACATATAATTTTGCGATTCTAAAGGAGTACGGTGCTACCTTTTACAAGAATATCATACGAATTTTTCCCTACTCCAGGTATGTTAAGGCTATCCCTTCTTTCTTTTTGGCATGATCCAAATTATACAAAAGATACGAGCAAACGCACAATTTTCATAAACGACTCTATTCATAGAAATACTAGGGGTCTCTTGTTCTTGATTCCCCATGTTACATATTATTATATCTTCTGTTCATGGGTCTCGGAATAATACGCAGTTGATAAAGTTTATTCGAAAGGAATATTGAGATTATTACATATTTTCATGCATTTCATTCATTTTTATACATGTACATTGACCCCATGACCAGATGGCGACGATATTATGGGATGCCCTCAAAGGCTTGATGATATTATGTACACCTATACCTATGCATGATACGACATTTATACGCACGTGCATGACATTATAAATGTTTCAAAATTTACAAAGTTATTCAGAATTACAGATGAATTCCTTTATTCCATGTTTCATCTATGTCTTTTATGTACTGATTTTCATGCCTTACATACTCAGTACATTATTCGTACTGACGCCCTATTTCCCGGGGCCTGCGTTTCATGCCCGCAGGTGCAGGTAGGCAAGTCGACGGTCTCCCTTCTTAGGATCCTTGATCAGCGAGAGTTGGCATGCTCCACTTGATCCGGAGCTGCTTTTGATTTTGGTACGATATGCATATATACATATATATGGGTATGACGTGGCTCAATCCCGTCTTTGTACAATAGTATTTCTATTAGAGGTTTGTAGACAGTTATGTATAGTCGAATAGTATGTGGCCTTGTCGGCATCCAGTTTTGGGTATATAGTTGTCTATAGTGGCCTTGCCGGCTAGCCCCACTGTATTTACGCATGTATATGTACATATGTATTCCGGACAGGTCTCCCTTACATATGTTATTCATAGTTATATCTTAAACGCATGCTTAAGGATGTTCGACAGGTAAGACTCAGGCACCCGTCGTGGCCCATCGGTTTGGGTCATGACAATACTAATGGTAATTAATGCATATAAAGAAGGCACCAATTTAACATGGTTTGGTCAGTGAGACCTACGTCCACAAGCGGAGAGGAACAATTTCACTATAGCAACAAGAGTCACGAATTTTCTAAATAAGTCGTGACCGGCACCCGGTCGCTAAAATTGACTGAATCATCTGTGCTTATCAAAACTATTTTAACCTCAAACTCTATATGCAACAAAGGAAATACTTTAACCAAATACTTTTAATTAATTTAAATATCTAAGATAAACCAACTCCAAAAATTTATTCGTAGTAACTATTGAAATATTACAAAGTTATTATTAAAAACACCTGAATCTTAACCTACCGACTGTGTCTATGAAGCCTACTAATAAACTGTCGCACTGCTCAGGACATGAGATTTTCTGGCCAATTCTCTGAGTAAACAAAGAAATAGCAAAATAATGACGACTCAAAGGAGTACTCCACGAACAAAAGCGGAGCTCACCAAAAGCACTGGGAGTGAGGGAAGTCCTAACCCGTAGCCTGCTCGCCTGCAAAGCCGGTTCCTACGTTGTACCGCCAACCAACGTAGATTCTCAAAAGAGAACGTCAGTACCATCCATTGTACTCAATGAGTCTCAATGACAGGGGATGAAACTTTAATAACATATATATTACGAGCAAAGATTCTAGATGCATGTAAAACATAAAGCTTATAAGAACAATTCTAAAATAATTGCATAATAGCAGTTTATGAATATTCTAAAAGAAATTCTTTTCTTTTTCTTTCTTATAAAAAAAATACTTCACTTTATACTTCGTACTTCGGGAGTTCCACCTATCCTGACTTATTTCTGTCTTAGCCACCGTGTGATCGACACGGGTTAGATCCCAACCTGATCGAATAGGCCTAATCCACGAGGTGCCACTCGCTTCATGGTTCTCAGCGCCCATGTACCATACCTTAGCTTGGCTAGGCAAATTCTCAGCAACGAGACTATCGGCTCGTGTGCTCCCTACTTTGGCACAAGTAGTTTCAGGAAGTCAACACATTGATCAAGACCCTCGGCTTGGACGATGACCCCTTCTCAGAATAGAGGATACTCCCAAAAAAATACTTTAATAATAAATTATTTTGTGTGATCTTGCTAGGATCTAAATCAACTTCTCAACCTTCATGACCATTAAAGTCTAAATCTTTTCTGGAACATCCTATACTTACTCATACTGGTATCCTTAATTGTAACGCATGGCATAAGAATGAAATAAGCATTTAAAAGAATTTCTAAAGGTTCTTGCTTCTTCATGAATTTTTTTCAACATGAAAATGGAATATAAGAATAACACCAAAAATCTGAAAATTTACGCACATATATCAGAATAAATCATCTAATCTTTAACTAGAATAATTCTAAGCTAATAGGTACTCACCCGCTCCAATTAAGTACGTATTAACTCTTTTAAGCAATTAATCAAACACCTTGTATGCGTGCTTTTGTGAGTTAAACCACTTTAGTAAAGGGTTATATCAACTCACCTCAAAACTCCTGAGCCAATATATAGGCCCTAGTCCAATTTATACCCGTCAAATAATTGATTCTACAACAACCAGTGCATTTGATTTAATTTTAAAGTTTCACACCTAAACGTGGAACTTACTGTTGATAAAGAGGAAGAAGAGAATTAACTATTCAATTCTTACCTACTATTACTGTAGGTCAATTGACAATGAGGAATTTTATATACCTGAGTTCAAGAATAAGTGAGTTGTGAAGAATCCTAGAATTTACCGTGCAATTTCTGGCTCCTCCGTTTCGTATAAGGCTTTAAGCCTTTTGTGTGTGTGAGACAGAGCCTTTCGTATAAGGCTTTCTGTTTTCTTGAAGGCATTAAGCCTTTTCTTTTCCCTAGTCACGTGACTCCCTTATATTGCTTTATTGTTTTTTTTTGTGTTTTGACTTAACTAGTATTTAACTATACCTATTGTTAAAATTAATAATCCCTAATTGTATATGGAAATATTTATAAATAAATAAGTAACTCAAAAGTCAATCACAATCCGTAATAGAAGTATAATTTAAGATTAAAAGAAAAAAATTAAATTCTTTAGCATGTGTTGAACTTTTATAGAATTGAGTAGTGTTACAAAATTAGAATAAATATTCTAATTAATCCCAAATACCCCAAGAGAATAACCTCACAAGATCACTAAAAAAAAAAAATCACACAAGTGTTTCCCATTACTTAACTCTCTTACAAAACTCTATAATGAAAGAAAGAAAAGGCAAGAGACGTTTGTCTCAAACTTTAGTGTGAATGATATGGACATTTGCTAGCCTATTTATAAGAAAATAAGATGGTCATTGTATGGCATATGATTGGCTAGCAAGGCCTTTAATGAATGGACATAAAATGTCCAACAGTGACCAATGTAAGACCATAGAGAAGCCAACAAGGCTTATAGTCTACGGCCAAAAGTAGGCCACTTATATCGCAGTAAGATTTACGAAGTATCCTTTAGAATTTGCCAATTATTATTTTACTTTAACCGAATAGTAGTGAGTATAATTGATAAGATACTAAGGGTTGTCTGGTATAATGAAAAATATTTTCTAGGAAAATATTTTATTGGAAAATAAGTAGTAATCTTACTCATCTTTCGGTGTTTGATACGCAAATTAAGAAAAATAATTTCTCAAGAATATTCATAAATAATTTAGATACAATAAACATGAAGTCATTTTTCAAACCAACAACCTTCTGAACCCACAAATTTTATAAATTTCCGAAGCGCTAAACTTTCGAAACCGCAGACTTTCGGACCCGTAACTTTATAATTTCTAGATACCCGTAAACTTCCAAACACATAAACCTCCAAAATCATAACTTTGGAACTTGTAATTTCGAACCTGTAAACCGAAAGATGGAAAAACTAAACCTGAAAATATATTAAAAAAATATTTTTTTCCCCGGAGTAAGGGAGTGCAGAAAAACGAAAAAACAGAAATTTGCAATTACAAAAAAAAAAAAAAACTTAGTGCGGGGTGGGGGGGGCGAGTGGGGTGGGGGTGGGGGTGGGGGTGGGGGTGGGATTCGGGTGTTGGTGGTGCAGAAAAATGAAAAAACGGAAATTTTAAAATACAAAAAAAAAGTAAAAAATTTAATTTTCTTTTGCGGGGAGAGGTGGAGGCAGGGGCAGGGGAGTGCAGAAAACGAAAAAATAGAAATTTGACAATACAAAAAAAAAAGTAAAAAAATAATTTTTTTTGCTGGGAGGGGTGGGTGGTAACGAAAAAAATTTGAAATTTGAAAAAAAAAAAAACCTTTTTGGAGGGAGGGGGTGGGAGAGGTGGGGTAAGGAGAGAAGGGGGCAAGGGTTTGGATTAGATGCGAGGGTAAGTGGAGTTTTTGGAAAATGTTTGGAAGTCATTTTCCTCCAGTTTCAAAAAAATATAATATCTAGAAAAATAATTTTCAAACTATTTTACGCAACAAAACAGTAAAAAATGAGAATATTTTCCGTCATACCGGACGCACCCTAAGGCCCTAAAAATAATTGGAAGGTAGTTTGGTATTCACCGGCGTGGGGGAGTCAACCATCTCCTAGGATATTTTCTTGTTTGTTCTTTTCTAATGAGTAACTAGATGGATATAGCCCGTGCTTGCACGGGCCCGACATTCACAGTTTTAAGCAATTAGCTTTTTGGTGTTTTGTATATGAAAAAAGCTTGACGGTATTGTAATTGCTGAAAAGGTACAATTGAATCAAGACACAAAATCTTTGTATTACAAATAATTTATCTTATAATCAACAGAGAATATCGACCAATGTAATGGGTCTAGAATTAGGAAAAGAGAAAAAAAAACAAAGGTATTGTATGCGGCAACGTTGTCATTGATGAAGTCTTGACAAACTAATGATGTGACATGCAGCTAAACCCATAATTCATCAGTGTCTGCTAACATTTGTTATTGATGCTATATAAAAATGGAAAGAGGTTGTTTCAGTATCTTGTTAAAAATGGAAATGTATTTGTCAGTAAATGAGAGACAAATATAGAAGGCTTTTAGGTTGAAATGCATCAAACTACAAATTCAGCCAAAGAAAACACAGAAAAATAGTGCTACACGAAATAGCTAATAGAGGAACTTATTGATTCTATGTTATATAAGTAGAGGAGTCTGAATCTCAATATGTGTTAGTGTTATCATAGTATGACTTTAGCCCAAAAGGCATACAGTATTGGATGTTAAACTCTTTCATGACTATAAGCAGGTCTATAAGACAGAAAAGTCTTGTCTAAGGCAGAACATCCTTGAAAAGTATATTACCTTGGCAATAACAGCTTTTTCCTTCATTCGACCAAGCATTTTAGTTTTCCTTTCAACTACAATATGCTAGCAATATATATCATTTAACACAATACAATACATATGAATAATAATAGCAGAATAAAATAGTCAGCACTATTGAAAAGCTAACCAAAGTCTGTTCTGTAATTCTAGATCCTCCAATGTGACTAACTATATATAGAAAAAATATTTATCCATGGAGAAAAACATAAAGAGAACATATTAAGATTTATAAATGACATGCTTCAGTATTAGAACCAAAGTTTTTCATTATGTATAAATACACAAATTCAAAATTCATTTTTCTGGCACTTAACTTTACAAGCTTTCAAGAAAAGAAACAAAATAATTGCAACATCAATCTGGCATCACTGGTAGAGACTTTATTTTTTTTAATTTCTATATTTTTTTGTGGGTAAGTTGTTTATCTTGCACTAAATAACAACAAATAGAATTAAAGTATTGCAAAAATAAGAAAGAATTTATAACAGATAATCAGGCAATGCCTGCCAAGTACCAGTTCCAACTCATATTAAGGACAAATTTCAAAAGATACTTCATTGTTGAAGCCTAATTAACATTGCCTTAAAAAGAAGCCAAGACCCGATAACTAATGTCAGGATAAAAATTATTTTCATCCAGGTTAGTCATACATAAAAAGCTATCTATTTGTATCAGCCTTGTTCATCTTCCAGAAGGAAAGCTACATGAGGGCTTCCCTTTTCTTGCTATGTACTGATGCAGTTATTAGTTCGGGGTCATGCATCGAAAGCTACATAGTCTAAAGAAAACAAATCATAATTTGAGGGATACTAATTGGCCGTAAAAACATCAAGGAAAGCGCCAATTAGCATTAGAACCATTAATTAGCAAAATCTATTGAAACCTCCATTTCAAACCTTTAGATTTAATGCCATGTTGCATATGAAAATTTCAAATTTAACACCTTATGGTAAAGTTTCTTACTGAGATTTTTTCTTGTAGATTTTTCAAGTGCAGTTTCCCAAGTTAATAATATACGTAACTCATTGTATGTCAAGAAAGAGTAGACAATCTTGTTAATACGTGATTAAAGGAAACATATACCCATAACCTATACAAAAGTCAAATATAGTCTTTTAAACGAAAACCAAAAAAGGAGCACCCAATACAAATACATACCTAAAATGCCAAATTCAGCTCTCAAGTAAACAACACAGTTCTTGTATTTAAGACATATTATCAAACACCTTGGTTGCATGAGAGATCTTGTTTGTTTCTTCAATATTTTTGTCCTAGATGGAAATTAATTATGCCCAACTCGTATTTAAACCTATGCGGAAAATTTTCCAACAAACATGTGCAATTCAGACGTACAAAATGGAAGAAATTATCGTAGAGAGTAGTGAATAAGAGATACCCACCAAATACCCATTACCAATACATGGTTGCAATAAACAAAGAAAGACTGAAGAAAAATTCTGCAAAACTCCGAACGAATTATAGCACACACAGAAGGAAATTAGAGAAATTTGAAAGGAAACTCAAAAAATAAGGCTAGAAGGTGTAACAAAAGAAACAGAGTATACGGAATGCAAATCTGGGATGTGAAAGTGGAATGCACATATATTCGAAAGGCAACTAACTAATTAGGACAAAATTCAGAAGTAGACCCAAATTCCATCAGTATGGTCTTGAAACTTAGGTAAGAAGAGATCGAAAAACAGAAGGAAAGAGCTAAGAGAAACATACACGAAAAATCTCAGTCATATTTACTTTTGAGCTTGGTTGCTGTCGCCGGCGAGTAGGAATACGTGTTTTATGGCAGATGAAGCTAAAAGGACTATGACAGAGATTGAAAAGATGAGAAAATCGAAAAGGCAATTCTAGATGGAGAGTATAAAGACAATTTTACCTTGGTCGACCACACTTCTCTTCTACTACTACTAGATGAGGTTATACCCGTGCTGAGCACGGGCCCAACGCTGTAACTTAAATGTCTCTGTTTATGTGAACTAAATCAAATCTAAATCTCCGGCAATTTTGAGAGAAAATGACAAGAATCAAATAGCTTTTTTACAATAACGTCAAACTTATGGTCATTGAAAAATGGATAGCAACAAACACGAAGCATAAGGAAACATAACTAATACTATAACCAAACGATAGCCAATTCAATGTAAGGATGAAAAACACCTAAATCGAATCTTTAGAATCCAGGTTACCAACAAATAGGATGCGTCAATTGATTTTGCAGATTATTTTCCTAGTATATTTCTCCATTGTTTTTCTAGCATTTCCCCCTTTTTTCTTCTTCAGAAGACAACCTTAGTATTGTTTTGACAAATATACAATAGCATGCACATCTATTGCCCTTCAAGGTGTATTTCTTTCTCATCTCCAACTGTCCAACATAGAACATTCAAAAAGAAGAAGCTAATATAAGAAGATTCAGCTCTGAGATATTTCAACTCATGGAAACATTTTAATTTTATTCATATAACACAGGTGCAAAATCCCACAAAGGAACATTCACCAGTAGAAGAAAAGCTGAGAGCTTTAACTTTCAAAACAAGAGTTAAGAATAGAAGAAAGAATCAGTTCCATGATAATTGGCACTCTTGAAGAATAAAATAACCTACTGAAATAATTCGCAGATACTTTCTTCATTGAGAGAATTGAATACCATATAACTCTAACAAATAGCCACTTAATGTTTCTTCTTGTAATCTAGTTGCCTTGAAGCAATTTGAGGAATGGATATTCTAGATTGACCATGATCCGATGTGATTCATTCTTTCACTGTTCTGCTGAAAATTAAGATAAGCAACTGATGAAGATTATCTACCTGCTTTCACCAATGCAGAATACTAAACCCTCATCTTTTCTACCTTCCAGTTCTTTGCCTACATCAATATATGCTACACTGTGAGAGGAACCTCTGCACAAGTTAAGAAGACGCACATTTCTCACCAAATTATTCAAATCTAATGCAGAATAGAAGAACACAACTTCATGTACATTTATCATTGTAAGAGAACCGGAAAGTTACTTGACCATTAAAAGAACCAGCTTTTCTGATTCCCATAGAAGGTAGCAACAAATTTCAGCCACAGCTTTTAACAACAACATGCTAAAATCTTTAACTCTTATTATCTTCCACAAATGTTACTGTAACAACTTTGTATCCTTCAAAAATATGTGCAAAATGAAAAAAGAAAGAGTCAAAGAACACTGCTTTAAACAACCTGTTTGAACATGTATGGAAAATCTTGTTATTTAGTGTATTGACCAAACAAATACATATGCAACTTATGTCCGGTAAGCATAATTTCCTTAATTTCCATGAATAACAATATTCGTTTCGAACTGTTTTAGATAGTAATTACTACTCCTATTCCAAATAGTTACAAGTTCATACAGAACAATCATACATTAGTTTGTTCTAAAGCACAAATATGGCGGACAAAAGATACTTATCAATTCAGTTAGGCATTCTATGTACAAACTCATAAACAAAACCAAGACGCTTGAAAAGAGTTTAACTTTTCCTGCAACACTACCTTTATCATTTCACCTCTCAATCTGATAATTCATAACATAGGCCATTTAACAGTAATGGAGGGTGCGTATATCGGGGTTACTGAGAACCAACTGACATAGCTTATATCCTGTGCACCAATCAAATGGCAAGGAAGATAAAATTATACTAAAACCCTCAAAAGTATGTCCTCATAAGTAAAGTTAGTTGTTTGGGTACTCGGAAATCGATAAACCCATCCATCAGGTTGTTTAGCACCACGAGCCTTTACAAGACCATATTCACTTCCCACATCGAGAACATCAGGTCTGTCTTCACCACCAGTAATCATACACATAAGTGGCTGAAATTGTTGTCTACCGAGGTAATCCCCAATAAAAGCCAGAGTTTCGTTTTCCATCCTGGCCGCACAACCAAATTCAGTAAATTCCTTGTATGTAAAGCCAATTAAATATCACCTGAAGAATTGAAGAAGGGAGAGAGCAGCGCCATATTCTATGTAACAACAAAATTTAGACCCTGAAAAATAGTGCAAACAGAAACATCTATTTTCAGATATTATGATGTGAGAGAGAGAGAGCATGCACTACATAGGGAGCTTCACAGTCGCAAATTCTTGCATTTAATGTGAGATATATGTTCTAATCTCTTTGGTTTACTCAAGCTTACACTTCTGCCCTTGGAAAATACATTACAAGCCATGGTAAGTACAATACTATTAATGCCGGACAGATGAAGAGAGAGGGTTTTAATAGATTTTGGAAGAAATTTTTTAAGGTTATACATCCCCGACATCACAAAGTAATCACTTACAGTAAAAGGAAACCCTACCTTTTCAGGAAGTTAACACCTGCAAACTCTTCCATCTCTTAATCTCTTGGTCTCCAATGTAGTTTCTCGTATTCAAAATCCATACGTTGTGTTAAGCTGCAAGCCCACATGGATGACAATCATTGCTTGCAGCCAAATCCAGAATATAAAGGCCTACTATCATCTGTGATCCATCAACCTTTAGCAAAGTTACAACCTGGAAATTAAGATAAGGGTATTAGTAACCAATATCGTACTAACCATTGTATCAAATTCACCGGCTAATTTAAGGATAGGCCAATTGGAAAGCAAGGCCTTTTTTAAGATTATCCAGAACCCAAAAAAGGGTGATTATAATTGGAAAAAGAAAACAACAACAACAACAACAACAACAAAAAAATAAAACAGTTTGACCCCAATATGTGGGGTCTGGGAGGGTAGTCTGTACGCAGACCTTACCCCTACCTAATGCAGGCAATTGGAAAAAGAAGAAAATTAGATATTTGTTCAATGACAATGTAATCAAATCCGTCAAGATTTGACTTCCATGAACATTAGAAGTTTACAAACTTTTGAGGCAGATGTCAAATTCACTGGAGGAGCAACTTCATTTTCTTGTTGTCTTGAACTATTTTTTTCTTCCAAAGCTCTTTTTAAATCTCCTTTTTGGGCAAAGCTGGGAGGAATACCCCGCACTTCCTTAAAAACACCTCAATAACATCTCAGGATACAAAGATATTATAAAACATGAATAGGCGCGGAAGTAGTTCTTTTATGCAGAGAAACTGACACTTTGGCAAATATAAATCAAGTTGAGGAGTTCAAGCAACGGATTCAGTACACAGTAAGCATATTAGGATCTATTTATTCATACAACTGAGGAAAAGGAAGCTTCTCTTTCTTTTAATTTGACGGGCAGAAAACAGACATTGATGTATGAAGCAGAGAAAGAAAGAGACTTTACTATAGCACTAATTTTTCATAATTTGAGGTACTCAGAAAAGATGAAAGATTGTACTCAAACATACCATACCTTCTATCTCAGTATTAGTAATCAGTTCTTCAGTCACCTTATCCTTTTCTGTTTTTTCTAATCTATTTCGTTCTCTTAAAACTTCTTCATCTTTCACTGTATAATCTGCAAGAGAACAAAGAATAGATAAGTAACTTAACAGGATTCAACAACGTTTCCATCAAGTTCTATTTACTCTGTCATAATAATGTTGTCCTTTTCAGTTTTTCCCAAAATAGGTACTCGTATTAAAGAGGAAAGTTTCTCCCTCATCATTTAAACTGGTGCCAAATACATATTACATTATATTGTTTCAAACTTAACGTGGCATCTTACCAACTAACATTTCAACTTTTTCATATTTGAAACATTATGTTTAACACTTCCAAACAGATCCCACCAAACTGTATAAGACAACCTATCCAAATATTTCACTCTCAATAACAACAAAATATGTATCTTTAATGGGACATATCCAAGGGGACTTTAATTTAGTAGTCATATTAGTTATTATTTAGTTGTTGAAGAAATAGATGATATCATTATTTACAGAGAAAAAGTTGAGAAAGAAAATTCATGATTTAGCACGAACGCACAATTCAGGCAGATCAACAAGTGGAGCAGGTATCCACAAGGGAGTATTCTTGTGGGACGTTAGCTGCTTCACTGAAGCCAGCATAGAGGTGGATAACACTAGATATGACGTTTTCCTTGCATTGTGATAACTCGACTTACCTCCCAAAGAGAGCTTTAGCGGCACATACATTACATGATGACATAAAAAGCTTATATAAGTGATTTGTCAGTATATAAAAAATCAAGGAGAATAGATATCTCATCAGGCATTTTAAAATTTTATGAGACCAAAAAGGAAGCCAAAATTTAATCTGCAGGCAAAAATCTCGACTTCTTACATGTGCAGCGAAAAGGTCTATGTTGCCCGGCTTTAAAATAAACTATTGCATGCTTTGCGCCACCTAAATCAATTCATTCTCCTTAGCACATATACTGTAATAGGATAGTGTCATGCATGAAACTCCACCTACCAAGAACACTATTTTTTTTTATATCATGTTTTGATATTATTTTTAATTTGACAAACTATGACTGAAAATTAACTCTCGAAATGGAATACCACTTTGAAAGATAAAACAAATCCCGAAACAAATATCATAAAAAATTGTATAGCGAATGCAACATCAGGATGATTAGCAGTTAAGCAGGTAATGACTTCCACAACAGAGAAACAACCAACCTACTCTGGTAGTAATTGCATCTTGAGATGACGATTTTTCGTCTGAGCATCACACAAATGTTCCTCCTTCAATAATCTGTTTTGGTAATGCATCACACGTGAAGTTATTTTCAGGGTTATCATCAGTAAAGCTCTTACAAATTTGGAAGAGAAAATAACATCAGTTTTAGCTAAAAGTAAAAAAAATATTCAGTTATTTTGGGCATCATGTCAAGTACCTTGGCTGCATCAAAGTTGTTTTCTTTTAGCTATATTTTTTTTCCAGATTGCAACTCAATGTGCTCCTGAATTCACACGAAATGAAAATGATTTGGACCAAACAATGTCCACAGGGACCAATTGCATTATCAAGGCTCAATCTGCGTTTCTAATGGGGCAAAGAAGGATACCACACATATTTATCAAAAAAAAAAAAGAGAAAGATACCTGCAAAAGAACCCGTTGCATGTGATAGAGAACACTCATATCGCATACCATCCAATGTTCGCCAAGCCAAGATATGGGTCTGATTGTGTCCACGCCCAAATAGATGAATCAACTAAATTAGAAGTCCATTTCCCAATTTCTCTGTAGCGAAAAAATCGAAGTCACCAATAACACTCAAAAGAACAGGAAAGCGAATAACACAAAAAAAAACCAGTAGAAAACGAAAAAAAAGAGGAAAGAGGTAGAAGAAGTACTTACCACAGAGAGAGAGCAGAGAGAAGTGAAGAAGAAAGCAAAATAAGGTAACTAAAATATATATATATATATATATATATATATATATATATATATATATATATATATATATATATATATATATATATATATATATATCCACATAACTCAAATTAACAAAGAATATCAATATATTAGTTAAAAAATACCTAAATCAAACTAAAAACAGAGTGAAGTTCGGGAAGGGTGAGTTGGCACTGTTAGGGCCTTTTTCTTGGACGAATCTGAAGCCTCGAATTGAAAACTATTAAGAGATCTTAAAAAATCAAAGAAAAAAAGGACAAAGAAAACATTGGGAGAGAATCATACCTGAAATTGCAGGAGATAGATAAGAAAAATGAAGAGAGCTAAAAGTTGAAAACTGAAAAGTACTCCTCTGTGAATAGAAGAGAGATGGTTCTAGACCAATGTAGAAAAGGAAATATTGCTGTGAGAAATTTACACTAAAGCCCTTTTATGATAGAGTAAAATGTCAATTTTATCCCTGGTCGACCAACTTCTCTTTTCTATATAATAGATAACTAGATGTGTGTTGCCTGGGCTTGCATATTGGTTCATAAAATATGAAATACGTTGATACATTTTACTTTTACTTAATAAACAGTGAAGAAGCACCAGTAAAAGAATGCATAAAAATAACATAGAAATGTCAAAAAAATAAGACTTTCTCGAGGAAATGTGCACCGATAAAGAGAGGAAGCACCCTAAGTACTACACATGTTATGTCCAATTTAACTTGCACAACACAAACTCTATGTATTAATGACTCTAATCTAGCATTCAAAGACATGCTCCAGAATCGGCATCAGTTAGCCTCACCCTCTGCCCATATCCCTGCAAAATATTTAAAAGAGCATATAAATTGTTAGTATTCCTTAAATAATCAACTTTCATGGCTAAGCATGCTTAAAAACTTTAAATATTTATATGCTTGTTTAATATATATACTTAATATATATATATATATATATATATATATATATATATATATATATATATATATATATATATA